CAACAATCATCACATTTCCCCGAGCCACTCATCGCAATTGCTGGGGACGTTCGGTCAGAACCCTAGTTTTGAAGGACTTTCCGGCGTATTCGCTGGAAACATCCACGACCTCCCTAGAAGGTCCGTCTGAGCCGCCGAAAACACCTCCAGAAGCCTACTAAAACACTAGTAGAGAGGGTGGAAAATTACGTGATAAGGCGGAGAAAGGTGGTTGCGTCGAGCAGAAACGTTGTAGACGTCAAGCCGAAAATTCAGGGAGCTGAGCGGCAGCAAGAAGACAAGTGAATGAAAAGACGGACTGAGCCCACGTATACATACGCCCCTAGCACGAGAAACGAAGCATCACTAGGCATTCAAGTACCTAGATCGTAGCCTCCCTAGGGTGACACGTGGCGACTATCAGCTTTCCTTGCGTCTCTTCAGGTTCCATCTCCTCGTCTGCGGGCCTCCCCGCGTAGCGTAGGCTCGCCTGACCAGTATGGGTGCGGACAGACCGACGAAGCGAAATGCTCGACACCTCTGCACCTTAAATCATAGCTCGTCTGACCGTGAACAACGACTTAGGGGGCTACTATTCTGGACTGGGCCGACATTTGGCCCACAGTTGAGCAGGCCCAACCTCACGTCGGGTTGGAAGGCCCAATAAGACCTATCGCCTCCCCGTCGGGAAGAGCCCTTTATCCTGTCGGGCAAAACCCTTTCTCCCATCGGGAACGAACCTCTTGTTAGTCGAGCAGGCACCTCACGTCTGCTAGGCACGCTCTCCCTTCTGCTCAACCGTCGGGCAGACCCTATCCAGCTCGGAGGGGCTCCTCTGACCTCCCCCACGTTCTCAACGTGTTCCCTACACGGAGACACATCATCTAGTAACTACCCGTGCCTTGATTGATCGATCATCCGCCTCCGGGATAGCATAAAGCAATTGTACTAGGGCAAAAACCACGTGCTGGTCTTCCTGGCGCCACGTCAGCCCTAGCAGTTACCAGCGTTGGGCCTGACAGCCCAACCCAACGCGAAGTAACTATTGGCTCTGCGCTAGGGGCACAATATAAATACCCTCTTTCGCTAGAGGTTCAGGTAATCTCATTCCTACTCCTCTTTCTGTACTTGTTATCACTCTGCCTAACTCTTACTTTGACATCAGAGTATGTTTCAGGTACACCCCCTCCATTCTCCCAGCAGTTAGACAACTCAAACGTGTGGCCGCCCAATGACCCCTTCTGATCAGGTGAGATCATATATATATATATATATATATATATATATATATATATATATATATATATATATATATATATATATATATATATATATATATATATATATATATATATATATATATATATATATATATATATATATATATATATATATATATATATATATATATATATATATATATATATATATATATATATATATATATATATATATATATATATATATATATATATATATATATATATATATATATATATATATATATATATATATATATATATATATATTATGGGAGACATGGACTAGGACGCTCTCGCACAACCGATGGACTGCCCAGTGTTGTACCCCAAAATTTGTCCTACCAGTATATACCTTCACCTGTGCATCCATTCACTAACTATATCTAGAAAAAGGAGGAGGCTATCTTTGCTTGTGGTTCAGGGTTGTGTAAGGTGACTCGGGCAAGTGATGAGTATTATTCAGTGGCTTTTTTTTGGTTAGTCAGTCAAGAGATTGTTTCATGAGTTTTCAATCAGGGTTTCTGTACCCCAAATCATCTGTATGTGGGTCAGTTGTCAGGACTGTGGTTAATCAAGTGTTTTGTTGTCGATGATCAACAGGATCAAGTTTATTCTTCAATTAAAGTTTAATCATGGTTCTCTGATTTTAAGACATGTTTTGGCTCAGGGAGTTTTTTATATTAGAGACTTTGGTTTGTTGATATTCAAATGGTCAAATCCAGACTGATTTATTAATTCAAGGCTCTAATCCGTTCCCAATTTAGGATAATTCAAGGTCAATTCTACTTCTCAAGGTTAACTCAAGTGGAAATTGTTCCAAGTCAATAATTTTGTTTGGTTCTCGCGGGATGTCAAGTTTTCATCATTTTAAGTCAAGAACTTTGAGTTTGGTTATCATGATCTTATGGCGATTTCCAAGTTTTGTTTATGAGTGAGGTGTAAAACTGGTTTCAAGTCCATTACATTTTATAACAGAAACTTCACAAATTCTACAATCTCATCACCATTTATATTATTCAAACCAAATCATTTTACGTATTCTGCCATCCTTGCTGTGCAGCAAGCTGTTTTCGTTTCTGAAATGCATGTTGTAGTTATCAAAACTAATTATGAAAAGTCATCATCAGTAGGGACTGCACTTTTAGATGCGTATGTTAAGATAGGAAATATTAATGATGCTGTGAAAGTTTTTCGAGAAAATTAAAGTGAAGGACTTAATGGCATGGTCAGCAATGCTAGCAGGATACGCACAAACAGGAGAAACCGAAGAAGCTGCTAAAATCTTCTGCCAATTGATAAAAGAAGGGATTAAACCAAATGAGTTTACATTTTCCAGTATCATAAATGCCTGTGCTGCTCCTACCGCGGCAGCAGAACAAGGAAAACAGAATGTTGTAACTCAGTGAAGCATGAGTAGACGGCAGCCAAAATTTCTGATTGTCAATTACTTCGTTTGGATTACAGGAAGGAACCATCCCTAAAATCTGCAGTATTAGTTTTTCAACTTTCCTGTGTCAATTTTCCCTCAGAATGATGTTTACTTAAGGAAAAGAGAATTTCACAACTCGATGAAGCATAAGTAGATGGAAGTCAAAGTTGAGGATTGTCAATTACTTCCTTTTGATTATTACAAGAAGGACCCATCCCTAAAATTTGCTCTATAAACCATTCAATTTTTCTGTTGTCAGTAATGGAAGTGGGAGCAGTGGACCCTTACACAACAAATCCAGGTCCAATTGATGGTTCAGTTCTATATGATCAAGACAAGCATGTATCATCGGCAGTTTGGGAAGGGCAGCAGGAGCGCGGTGCCCTCAGATGTCACGAACACACTTCAAAACTTGATCAGTGGACACTTACACCGAAACAGATTGAATTGGTAGACAAGGCTGGATTTGGATACTTACGGTCAATTCCAGCTATTAGTCTAGACAATCCACTTATCTCTGCTCTAGTTGAAAGATGGAGAAGGGAAACAAACACTTTCCACTTTGACTGTACTCAAATCACGCTTGCTCCCTCTCCTCAACTACCTCCTTTTCTCTCACTCACTCTCTCTTCAAACCCTTTCCTTGATTATTGTAGGTATTTTGTGGCTAAAAGGAGTAGTTGTGGTGGATTAATCTTTGTGGATAAGGATAAAACAGCATGCGGTGGTGGTTCAGTCTATCTATTGATGTTTATCGCAAAGTTATTTCTTTGAATCTCTATTGCAAAGTTATTCTCTAACTTCTTAAATTTTCAACCCTTTACTCCAAAACCACATCACGGTAACCATCCTCATTTTGTTTGCAAGTCTATACCATTCCTAAAACCAGTTCCTGCAGTGTATACAAAAGGGGGTCTGCTACATCTTCAGACTGCATCACAATGGCCAACAGAATCAGCCTACACAAGCCATGCCAGGCAAGCTCTACATAACCGTACCGCCAGCCATCACCTGCAAAACAAGAGATAGATGCGTAAAATTAATTCAGCCAGAAAAAAAAATCAAAAGAAATCAGAACTTGCAAGGAAGTGAAGAGAATGTCAAGACGGATGTATTTAACACTTTCATTGAGCTCTTGCGTCAAACTGGAAATGTCACGAAAGGGCAGACTGATGCAAATGAAACGAGTCCTAAATGGTTGTTGAAGCAAGAACTGTCAAAGATTGTCAAATCTATCAATAGGCAGTTGCGGGAGAAATCTATCAAAACAAAGGTTGGTGCCTTTTCTGTTTTGAAAGAACTCGTGGTTGTCTTGCCCAACTGTCTTGCAGACCACATTGGCTCACTCATTCCTGGAATTGAAAAAAAAGCATTAAATGACAAATCATCTACCTCAAATTTAAAGATTGAAGCCCTGATATTTACAAGATTGGTATTATCTTCGCATTCTCCTGATGTTTTCCACCCTTACATCAAGATATGTTGGTTAAATTCTTCTACTGAAGGAATGTTTTGCCAAATCAAGGCGTGTGCAAATTATATGGCAGCATTTCACAAATGGATCTGTTTATCTTTTTAGGCACTTTCTGCTCCTGTGTTATCAGCTGTTGGTGACCGATATTACAAGGTCACAGCAGAGGCCTTGAGGATGTGTGGAGAACTTGTTAGTGTTGTGCGACCTAACCTTGAGGGCTCTAGTTTTGATTTCAGACCATATGTCCATCCCATATATAATGGCATTATGTCGCGCTTAATAAACCAAGATCAGGATCAGGAGGTTAAGGAATGTGCTATCTCCTGCATGGGCCTCATTGTGTCAACTTTTGGCGACCATCTTAATGCAGAACTACCTGCATGCCTTCCTGTGCTTGTTGATAGGATGGGGAATGAGATAACCCGACTTACAGCTGTCAAGGCATTAGCCGTTATTGCCACTTCTCCACTCCGGGTAGATCTGTCATGTGTCCTGGAGCAGGTAGTAGCAGAGTTGACTGCATTCCTACGAAAAGCCAATCGTGCGCTAAGGCAGGCAACCTTGGGAACCTTAAATTCACTCATAGTTGCTTATGGTGATAAGATTGGTTTATCTGCCTATGAAGTATAGTGAGAACTGCAGGGAGGAATTGCTTGCTTCTACAATTTTCTATCTCCAACTGCTTCCTGTGGGAAGAACCATTTTATTACAAGCCTACAACAAGTCCAAATTTCAGACCTGCTTTCTGTGTACATTCTACACAAACTTACTAACAAAAAACCAGGCCCGCTCCATCCGGACAAACTTGACAGCAAGTGGACCAAGACCAAATCCGCAAGGATCATACCATTACGGCATGATAAACACAACGAGAACAATCGTACTTTCAAGTTCAGCTGGACAAGTGAATGGAAAACAAAGATACGCGATCAACAGCGTGTCTTATGTTTCCCCTGACACTCCTCTTAAGCTAGCTGACTTCTTCAAGATATCAGGTGTTTACCGTCCGGGAAGCATCTCTGATAGACCAACCGGCGGTGGTATATACACCGACACTTCTGTTATGCAAACTGACTACAGATCATATGTAGAGATTGTTTTCCAAAACGACGAAGACATTCTTCAGAGCTATCATCTTGATGGCTGCTCTTTCTTTGTGGTTGGTATGGATGGAGGACAGTAGACAACTTCTGCACAACCGTACCGACAATACCCTGCTGCAAACCTGCTACACACAACAGCCTGCAAAACAAAGCAGCCAGCCCACACACACTACCCTGCAAAAACAAAACATCCAGCCCACACACCTGCAGAAATCGTACCATGCTTGCTACAAATCCACTCCACACCAGACCAACAAACAAAATCCTGCACCTGAAAATGACTTGACATCAATAATAAGACAATTTTGAAAAGAAACTTAAAAGAGGAAGAAAAACAACATGAAAAAAGGGGGAGAAAAAACACTCATCTGAGGGCTTTGAGATAAAAACCGGAGAATCACATAGCACAACATGATAACCTCCACCTTAAAATCTCCAAACATCTGCCCTCTCTGTTCTTCATCCTCAACCCTTCAAAACCCCACCTTTCATCTTCTAACAACCATACATGAACCCCAACAACTACAATAGATCTAAAAAACCCATCACCATTTCAGAAAAACCCCCTCAAACTCCATCAACCAAAACAGGACAAACATTCAACTAACCATCTGCTACCTCACTTCCATTTTCGACCCAGAAAACTCCATTAAACCCTCAAAGCCACAACATTACTTTCATCGAACACGTGGTGGGCGGTTTTTATGTCTCTGTTCAGCACTTCCTTTCATTAATCTCCACTAACCTTCACCTTCAAATCTCACAACATCATAACCTCAGCTTCAAAAATTTCCATCATCATTTTAAAACCATTCCAGAAAAACCAACAACATCTCATTAACTTCAAACTTAACATCTTCCTCCACTTTCCATTACCATCTCCCACTTTCGAATCTCATTCTCCCATCTTCAATCAAACGTTTCACATCTTCAAATCTACAACCTGTTCCTCTCCTTCAAAACCCAACAAAAGTCACTCATTTTCGCATCTTCGAAGCTCCTTCGAACCACCACCGCGAACCACAACGGAAACCCTTCCTCTTTTTTTTTTCACTCACCCTCAATACTACCTGAAAACCAATAACAACAACCCTGTTTCTCTCCTTCAACCTCCTTCGATTTCCCCATGTGAAACTCCTCACGAAGCTCCGAAACCCATCTCCGTAACCCCACTCATCAGAACCCCCCATCGCTAAAACCATGAACAAAGCAAACCAATAGAATGGAGAGAGAATTCGAAACCGAGAGATCGAGAAAGAGAAGGAGGAGACATTTAATCCTAAGCCTGGAATGAACAGAGGCATCTGGAGATGAAATACTCTTCCTAGTGAAGTTGTGGTGCGATTCACTTTGATTTGCTTCGTAATGCTCTTTACCTGCGTTTTTACAGAGGTTGGTTTTCTTCCACACTCCAAGTTGTACCCCCTCTGTTTCGTTTAATGGTTTTTGTAAATATTGATTTGTAAACTTAATTTATTCCTTTTTTACATTTTGGTTAGTTTTAATTTATATATTATTTTTCAAAACAGATTTATTAATATTTATTATATTGCATTCATTTCTTTTGAATTCTACAAGTATATTGTTTTTATAATATTTTATATAGAAGTTTATATCATTCTCTATTCGGGTTTTTATTTCAATTTCTTTTAGAATTTTGATTCATTTTATATTTAGAGTTGGATTCCGTTTCACATTTGTTATTGGGCATTTGTCTCATTTTCATCTGTTTTGGGTCGATGACGAGACCTCCGTAATTCATTACCAGTCAAATTATTGATGAGTAATGTTGGATCTAAGACCACCTCTTTTCTCTCTTCATTACTTGTCCCGACTCGATTCAAAAACTTTGTCAAACACTTTTCAAAATCAAATTATCTTTGTATTGAATTAAAAAGAGGGGATTAAGTGTAGACTTTCTTCCTCTCCAAGTGTAGGGATGCCCACTGTAGTGAGGGTGGTTTCGACGCTCGTCTTTCAATACAAAGACGTTTCCATACCATCTCCCCTAAAACCTCGGTCCCGCACCGAGTGACTTTTCAAACCTTCCTTCCTAAAACCTCGGTCTCGTACCGAGTCCATTTTCAAACCATAATAATTTGATTTCTCTTTGTATCGAATTAAAGAGAGAAGATTGGGTGTTGACCTCTTCTTCTCCGAGTGATGGGATGCCCACTGTAGTGAGGGTGGTCTCGATACTCGTCTTTCGATACGAAGACACGACTCTATCCACCACCTCTCCCTTTCGCAACTTCATTCTGCAACCCTTGTCACCTAAAACCTCGGTCCTGCACCGAGTGCATTTTCAAATCATTTTCGTAGCAAAAACTTGAATGGTCGTGGAGTGGTTAGGCGTAGGCCTTCTCCTATCCCGAGTGCTGACGTTTACCGTAGGGTTCTCTGTCGCAAAAAGCACTTACCATTCAAAACCAAAAATACTTTAATAAGAGAATGAAGTTCTCTTTGTGTTGAACTAAAGAGAGAGGATTGAGTGTAGTCTTCTTCCTCTTCGAGTGTCAGGATACTTGTTGCACCCCAAAATTTGCCCTCACAATACAAGACTTTGTGTTCCAAGAAGGTTCACAAGGTTCACAAAATTCACAATTGGTCAGAAGAGTTGACAATTCCCTCAGACAATGCACCTCCTAAGCAGTGCATCCAAAACTAGGGTTTTGACTTTAATCAGGCTAAATGGACTTCCAAGACTTCAAGTGAGCTTCATAACATCTTATATGTGTATAAGAACCCCCATGTCAAGTTTCAAGACTTTTCTCAAAAGTTTGCTCAGTCAGATGATCAGATAAGTCAAAAGCAGTCAATGCAGTTAAAAGGTCAAACTGAGGTCAACTGTGGTCAAACCAAAGTCAAACTTCATGACTTTTTTTTTTGCCAACATCAAAGAGAGGTTGGGTGAGAAATATTATCATAATAACTGTAATACCCCAAATTTTGCCCTAAGATTTGTCGTCGCATTTCATTGCATTTAATCAATTACTAACAAATTTGTGTAGTCGTTTGACTTTTTGCAGGTAAATATCATATGGCATGCATTTTTTTTCTAAAAAGTAAAAATGGCACAATTGGCAGGAGGACATGTGTAAGGAGTTATGAGTGTGAGAGGTTGAGAGTTCGAATCTCACCTTTGTCACTTTTTTTTGTTTTTTATTATTTTTACTCTAAATTTTTCTATCTTTCATTAAAAAAATAACAAAAATAGTTTTTTATTATTATTTAATTATTATTTTCGTATTTTAATTAAATCATTTTTTAAAATATTATTTTTTTTCACTTTTTTCTAAATTATTCATAAAAATATCCAAAAAATCATAAAATAAAAAAATATTGAAAAAAATTTTGTTCTTTTTATAATATTTTTTATTTTAGGAATCAATAGGATTATTAGTTTTTATTTTAAGTTTATTTTAATTATTTTAAATTATTTAAATTTTATTTTTTCTTAACTAATTATTTAGTTTGGGCTTTAAAATGGGCTTTAGGGACATTATTGACAATTTGGTGTTAACCCTAATTTGTTCCCTATATATACATGTGTTGCCTTGTTGGAAAAAAGGGAGAGAAGAAAAAAAACCTAAGAGGAGTGAGTGCCGTTTGCCGTTATTTAGTTTTCTTCTTCATCCATTACTATTGTTTCTTTTTCTTCATCGTTTACCGTTATTTCTTTTCCTTCATCTATTACTGTTGTTTCTTTTTCTTCATCTTTTACCGTTATTTCTTTTTCTTCATCTATTACCGTTATTTCTTTTTCTTTATCTATTACTGTTACGTTTATATATATATAATTTTTAAATTGTTAGAGTTTATATATATAAGATTTTTGATCGAATTATGTCGATACGATGTTTGCACATTTGTGTGCATGACGCGTGACATTTGTGTTAGTTCGATCTGGTTGCGATGATCGCATTTTTGTGTGAGCAATAATACTATTTTTTGCTTAATTTCTTTTTCTTTGCGATAAATTTTGTTTCGTCCGATTTAGATCTGGTTGCGATGAGCGCATTTCTGCGTTAGCAACATTGTTGGGTTATTTGGCACATTTAAAATTCATTATTGCTTTATTATTATTATTATTATTATTATTATTATTATTATTATTATTATTATTATTATTATTATTATTATTATTATTATTATTATTATCATTATTTATTATTATTATCATTATTATCATTATTATTACCATTATTATTATTATTGTTATCATTAATTTATTAAAATTTGTTATAATATAAAAATCTGTTTTTTAAAATAAATAACATTAACATCTTTTCCAAATTCATATGAAAACCTATTATTTTTAAGAAAAAACTTTTTTTTTAGATAAATTTAAAATAATAACTAAAATCTTTTTTTAAAATAATAACTAGAACCGTTATTTATTTTATTTTATTATTGTTCAATTCAAATTTCATTATCATATTGTATCTGCTCCTCTCATGTAACCTCGCGAACTTAACAATCGCTCTTTAAATTCTGCCTTTAAAATTTCTGCTTGCATGGTTTAAATTATGACATTATCTCTCTGTTTGCATGATTCAATTATCTCACGCGTTTACTATTATTTCTGTCACATTGCACACATCCGAAGGTTAGGTCTAACTGTTTGGCCGCCGCGCCAATAGTCCGTAAAACTTCACACATTCAATTTCAAATCCTCAAAACTACAAACTACAAACCCTAATTTTCACAAATGCCTCGCCGCAGGCAAAATTACAATTTTACCCTTAGCATTAGGTCAAAGAGCCGCCGCGCTCATTTTAGGGTTTCCCGCCGTGGAATCCCTAATTTAACCCTAATTACAACTTAACATTTCAACGTAGAGATTTGGAGTTTCTACACTCCACGTAAGCGTGTCCTTAAGATGCGTTTATTCCCCTTGAGACCTTGACCACAGTCAAGAAGTTTCTAACCTCCCTATTGAGGGGAACTACGATTACTCTGATTCCACTCCCGTAAGGATACGTAGGCACAAGATGCGATGTCTTGCCGAGTAAACTTAGAATTAACCCCCTTTATTATTTATTATTGCTTATTTATATTTTATTTATCTTTGCTATTT